TTTCAGCCTGAGTATTCTTCAATATTTCTAACTCTTTTCTGAATTCATTCAGAAGTTTATCCCTATCTTCTTTCGGGTCTTTGATTTCTTTGTGTGTTCTTTAAATTCACTGAGTTCTTTTATCATGTTTATAATTGTTATTTTGAATTCCAAGTCCTGCATTATCTCTAGGGGGTTCTCATTGTACCCTAGAGGGACTATTGGTATTTGGTGGGGATATGTTATTTTGGTTTTTCATGTTATATTTTTCCCTGTGATTTTTGACATGTGAATTTTTTTTTTTTTTTTTTTTTTTTGTAGTTTCTGATTCTTGTGTGAGACTCAAGCCTTCAAGTTTAGGTCTGCTTCTTTTTGTGAACTTTATGTGTCTTTGTGGTTTACTTTTGGGGCATGAAAAACTCATTCCTCTAAGCTTCCACTTCTGTCTTTTGATTTTATATTGGAATGGCCAGATTGCTTTTGTCTTCAGGAGTTCCCACAAAGGCCCAAGTCAGATGAGGATAAGATGTTCTCAGGCGTTCTCCTAAGGTCTGGATCCCTCCAGAAAAGATTATGGCCTCAGGAATTTGGGGGTTGGACTGGCGTGGGAGCCAGTCCCAGGAAAGATGTTGGTCTAGGGCAGCTGGTGGCCGTGCCACCCAGAGATGCAAAGGAAGCTGGGGGTGGGAAACAGCCCCAAGCACTCCTGGGGACTGCACTGAGGAGCTGGGTTGGTCTAGATGCAAAGGATCAGGAAAAGGAAAGGTCAGCCCTGGCATCCAGGAAAGAGGCTGGTGGGTCTTGCACGCCCAGGGAAGTAGAGGGAGGTGAGGGCAGGGCCAGGCTGAGTTGGTCTGGATGCAAAGGATCAGGAAGCAGTGGTGGTTCCCCAGGTGTCCCAGGTGCCAAGACAAGTAATGGGAGAGGTCCCAGGCTACGAGGAGAGACCGAGGAGAGACCGACGGGAGAGTTGGGAGGGTAAATGAGGCTGGGGGAGTCAAGGCACCGAGGGGCGATCAACTTACCCCGAAGAGAGGCCTGCGGGTTAGAGAGAGGCCTGTGGGTCCTGCAGGCCCAGGGAAGCAGAGGGAGATGAGGGTGGGGCCAAGCCCAGAGTGCTCCTGGGGACCCAAGAGGGAACTGAGTTGGTCTGGATGCAAAGGATCAGGAAGCAGTGGTGGTTCCCCTGGTGCTTGGGGCACCAAAACAAGGAATGGAACAGGACCCAGGCTAGGAGGAGGGACATGTGAGGGAGATGGGCGGGTGAATGAGGCTGGGAGAGTCAAGGCACAGAGGGCAAGATTGACTTATCCCAGAGAGAGAGGCCTGCAGGTCCTCTTCATATTCTTAAACTTAGAGGCTACTAAGGCAGAGAGGAGTATGTTGGAAGCTGTTTGTCTATTATGTACATTGAGCTGTGGCAGGCTTGTTTACTGAGTTTGTGTTATGCACACCAGTATCTAATCTGCCTAATCAGGAGGAATGTGTTTATACAGAGAGCCTCACAACACCTGACCTTGAGGCAATAGTGGTAAACAAAAAGATCAAAGAAGCCTTTGAGGTGTCTGACCACTCCTTGACCCTCAGATACCAGGTGGGGAAAACAGCTGTTGAAACTAATTGAGTTCTTCTGTATAAAAAGGTGGAGCTGAAATAAACCCGGGCTGCAGGCCCTACTGTCAGCCGTCCCAAGCATCTTTTCTGTCTCTTATTTTTTCTTTCAATCCTCACTCCCCCTTTCAGGTACTGTCCGTCTTGGCCGGCTGGCACCGGCAGGAGTGAAAACTCAAGACCCACACTTTCCTTAAAGCCAGGTCAGTCAGTGCCAGGATCACGATACCAATCAATTTGTGGAATTCTTGATAAAGTGCAAGGGACGCACATAGTGCTAAAAAAAAAAAAAAAAAATGTGGCACTACCTGAATTCAGCTGCTTGCAAGGCACTCTAAAGCATTCTAAGTCTTTAATCCTAACACACTGGGGAGGAACGTGAATCTCTGTGAGATCAAGGCCAGTCTGGTCTACAATGGTGAGTTCCAGGTAAACCAGAGCTACATAATGAGACCCTGCCTCAAAACAAAATAAACGACAAGATCAGGAGTGGGCTTCAAGGGAGGTCACAGCTAGCTGTCCCTAAGAATAACAAGTTCCAACCGAAGGCCTGACCAGACAATCAAACAGTGGTATTTATTGTACCAATGGCTTTACTGACCCCTCTTTCTGGGGTGTGCAGGTAATACGTCTCTGCAGGGAATCTGAGAAGCTATGGTCTCAGTATGGGTCATTAAAAGGGTACAGAGGGTGTCCTGTATCTCTTGGGACCCTTTTTCCATCCACCTGAAAATAGAAAGAATTAGATGACTCCATTAGCAAGAACTGACATTCCAAAGACCCAGGGCATTTCCCCCAGCATTTTAGAATTCGTTACTTTTCTAATTTTTTAAATTTTATGTATTTATTTATTGGTCTTTTTGAGCAGGGTCTCCCAGTAGCCCCAGCTGGCCTGGAACTCTCTATGTAAATCAGGCTGGTCTCAGACTCACAGAGGTCCTCCTGCCTCTGCCTGAGTCTGGGATTAAAAGCATGCGCCACCATGCCAGGCTATTGTTTTCAATTTTATTGTATGTATATGAGTGTTTTGTCTGCATGTATACAAGTGCACCTGGGTTGTACAATATCTGCAGAGGTCAGAAGGGGATATCAAATCCCTGGGAACTGGTATTAAGGACGGTTGTTAGCCTCCATGTGGGTGTTAAGAACAAAACCAAGATCCTCTTAACCACTGAGCCATCTCTCCAGTCCCTTCCCCCAAATTATTTAGTTATTTTTATTATTATTTTTTGAGACAGGGTCTCCCTGTAGCCCCAGCTGCCTGGAACTCACAAAGAACCTCCTGCCTCTGCCTCCCAAGTGCTGGGACTAAATGCTTGTACCACCACGTGGGGTTCCTTCCCCCAACTTTTATGAAGAACTTTTGGCTAGTTTTTCACTATACCAGGTGGCATGAGCAGGAACCACAGCATTAACATCATTACAGCATCAAATCCACAGCCTGGTACATACCTGATCCTGCCTGGAAGACTTTGTAGTCTTTACTGGGACAACTTGTGCCCAGAATCTATTTATTTCCCTATAAGCAGTAGACTTCAACAAGGTCAAGAATGCCATCTGGGCTCCTCTCTTATTATTTTATTGGGTTAATTTGACTGCTTTGGAGAAATTATGTAGGTTCAAGATAATCAAGAAGTAGGTTTATACCAGGCATGGTGGCCTATGCCTTTAATCCTAGCACTTGGCAGGCACAAGCAGGCAGATCCAGGCCAGCCTGGTCTACATCCACAGCGAGTTCCAGGCCAACTGGGGCTACAGAGACACTCTGTCTCAAAACACACACACAAAAAGAATCAAAATTAGGATTCCCAGGTTTTATGAAGTATGCCTAAGGCACAGTAATTTCCTGACCTTGAGAAAAAGGAGACCACTGGAGCAGAGTTTGGTGGCACACAGCTGTCATCTTAGAACTTCAGAGGCTAAGACAAGAGGATAGAGTTCAAGGTAGCCTGAGCTACAAAGTGTAAACCTCTCTGAAAGGAAGGAAAGAGAAAGACTAAAAAAGAGAAGGCACAATGGCACCTTAGAAGGCCGAGGCAGGACAACTGCCAGGAGTTCGAAGCCAGCCTGGGCTACAAAGTTCTAGGCAAGCATGGGAAATCTGGCTCAACAAAGCAAAAAAAGGAAGAAGGAGAGGGAGGAAGGGAAGGAGGAGAGAAGGAAGAGAGGAAAAGAGTACTATATTTGGGGTGGCAATCCCTCCAATATGCTGTCCTTCTTCCAACCAGCAAGCCTGAGGCCAGACCTGGGCCACCCCACCCCATTCCCTGACCCTGAATGGCTACATATCCTTACCGTAATCATGGGCACAATGTAGCGCCAATTTTTGTTCAAGGCATCTAGCTGCTTCATCTCCTCTGGGCTAAAGCTGAAATCAAATACCTGGGAACAGGAAAGACAGCCTTGTGAGTGGTAGCTGGGGTCCCCCAATACTGTCTTCTTGGCCAGCCCAAATCAGGGGCAGAATGTATCTCAATAGACTAAAGAGGACAGAACCCATGACCAAGTACCTGAATGTTCTGAAGGATACGAGAAGGAGTGATACTTTTGGGGATGGTGATTACTTTCCTCTGAACCTGCCACCTAGGGTAGGGATCGAGCATAAGGAAAAAGAAGAAGAGTTAGTATTGAGGAACATTATCTTATCCTTCATGCAGCCTTCCCTAATTCCTTGACCACCTGAGCCCACTGGCATAGGAACATTGCCTCAGAGCCTCCCTCCAGATCACATGGCAAAATCCTCAGCCTCAAGCACTCAAATAATGAACTCACTCAATCCTTCCCTCCCAAATAGGCCTTCCTCATACCCTCCTAAGAGTTCCATTCCTAAGAATGCCGCATACCTCAGCAGGATCTGAGCTGGAGAGCGCCCATATTTTTCAGCCAGTGCCAGGACCACTGGTTCCTCAAGCAGGACAGGCTCATCAGGATGGCGCCAGGCACGATCAGAGGAACCCAAAGGGCTATAGGCAGTCACCTCCAAGCCGCGTGCTTGGCAGTGGGCAATGAGCTCACTTTGAGCCAGGTATGGGTGGCATTCCACCTGAAACAAGTAACACTCCTTCACCATGGGGTGACCACACCCAGCTTACCTGACCCCTTCCAGACACATGTCAGAACTAGCCCAACAGTGGGAACCTGCTGCCCACTGTTTTTCACTATTTTCCCTGGTGATCTCATTCTCTCCCAGGTTTTAAGCTCACCTTTATGCAGAACACTCCAACACTTCTGGTAACTTGCCAACTCCATTAGGAATCTCACCACCTGTCCATTCATGTACCCCCTTCTACTCATAACCTCTGATCTGCTTGTAGTGCTCACCTGCAAGACAGCTGGGCGCACGGAGGCCACACTGAGAACATCATCAATCTGCCGACTGCTGAAGTTGGACAAGCCCAGTGCTCGTACCAGCCCCTTGGCCACAAGTGCCTCCAGAGCCTTCCAGGTCTCCTTATAGTGGATAGAGTCATATCTAATAGTTCCATCAGCATTCTTGGGGAAGGGATTGTCTCCCCGCCTGAGTGAGACAAAGCACCCGCAAGTGTGGGCACAAATGTCATACTACTGCCTGACCTGCCCATCCAACTATTCTATATACCATACTGTAAGATTATGCCGGGTGGGGTGGCGCATGCCTTTAATCCCCTTGGGAGGCAGAGGCAGAGGCAGGTGGATCTCTGTAAGTTCAAGGCCAGCCTGGTCTACATAGCAAGTTCTAGGCCAGATGGGGCTACAGGGAGACCCTGCCTCTAAACAACATAAAAAGAATGAAGGTTAAAGTACCAAAAATTAAGGACGGCAATGCTCTCTTATTGTTCTAGATCTTAAGTCTATTAGCTCTACATGGATACACAGAATGCCCATGCCCATTTCTCCTCCTTTTCTTTTTGGTCTTTTTGAGACAGGGTCTCCCTGTAGCTCAGCTTTCCTGGAACTCCCTATGTAGACCAGGCTGGCCTCGAACTCACAAAGATCCGCCTGCCTCTGCCTCCCAAGTATTGGGATTAAAGGCCCGGCCCAGCATTTCTCCTCCTTTTCATAGGCCCAGATTCTAGCTCCTCTCCTCTAGTAGGGCTTCCTCAATGCCACCATCCTCACAGAGTTTTCTACCCATCTAGCACAGGGCACAATGCTGATAGGAGACTGCTCACACTTTCTGGTGAGACAGGTTCCTGGCCAAAACCTCAGGGGAGGTATAGTGCCTCAACAGAAGGGCAACGTGTTTTCCGAATGAACAGTGGCGCAGAAGGGACCACTCATGTAGTGGTACAAGCTGAGTGTTATCCCTTTTATATAGCTAAACATTTAGCTGCAGAGATGCCTAGGATCCCATGTTAAGCTCCTCTACTTGCCACACAGATGTGTTCCCATTCTGCTCTGCTGCTCTGATTATAAGTTACCAAAACTACTACTCCCCAATACCCAATTTCCAAGAAAAGACACAGTAAGGCTTACTCAAAGGCATAAGGCCAGTGCATCAAGTATAGGTCCAGATACTCCAGCTGGAGGTCAGCCAGTGTCTTCCGGAGGGCAGCTTCTACATCCTCAGGGTGGTGCTTTGTGTTCCACAGCTTGGATGTTACAAACAGCTCCTCCCGAGGCACCAACTGGGACAGAGGCAGAGTCCATTATGAGAAAAGCCCTGAGCACTTAGTGTCACCTACCACAGTTCTTTTTTCTTCCTTTCTTTTTCTTTCTTTCTTTCCTTTCTTTCTTCTTTCTCTCTTTCTCTCTCTCCTTCCTTCCTTCCTTCCTTCCTTCCTTCCTTCCTTCCTTCCTTCCTTCCTTCCTTCCTTTCTGTATATCTGTGTGTGTGCTGTATGTACATATTCATGTGGGTGTATGTGTGGTGCACATGAGGTCAACACTTGCTGTCTGCCTTTTTTTTTTCTTTTTTTCAGTCTTTTTGAGAGAAAGACTCCCTGGAGCCCAAGCTGGCCTCACAGAGATCCACCTTCCTCTGTGTCTGCCTCTGCCTCCTGAGTGCTGGGATTAAAGGCATGTGCCTGGCCTGGTCTACCCATAGTTCTAAGAGAGGAACAGGCAAGCACATGCCCCAGAATGTGGCCCAACATAAAATCATAAATTTACTTAAAATATCATGAGGGGGCCGGGTATGGTAGCACACGCCTGTAATCCCAGCACTTGGGAGGCAGAGGCAGGCAGATCTCTGTGAGTTTGAGGCTAGCCTGGTCTACATAGTGAGTTCCAGGCCAGCTGGGGCTACAGGGTCTCAAAAAAGGCCAAAAAAAAAATCATGAGGGTTTATATATATAATCATATATATATTTGATAATTCAATTGTGCAGTTCTCAAGTGGGAACTTTGCAAATGATAATGCCATGATGCCACTTTCCCTCAGCCACACCACAGTCCCAGCTTCATCCCTAAGTTCTTACACCCCATCTTCTTTGCATCCCCAGTTCTTACCTTGCCTGGTCCCACATTCTCCTTCAGGGCCTCCCCAATCTCAGGTTCATTGCCATATACAGCAGCACAGTCAATGTGGCGGTAGCCTACACTAAGGGCATATTTAATAGCTGCTTTCACCTGCCAGAGGGGAGGAAGGGAGATTTCAGTTCTATAGTTCCAAACTACAAACTTCAGCCACTACTGGTAGGGGAGAAGGAACACATGAAGGCCATGCAGGTGGGAGCGAGAGAATATAATTCTACCACTTGGTAGATAAAGGCAGGAGGATCAGAAGTTCAAGGTCATTCTATAATCCCAGCACTTAGGAGGCTCAGGAAGGAGGACCTATATAGGCTACATGATAATTTCCAGACCTGCCTGCGTTACACAGTGAGATCATCTCAAAAAGAGAAACAAGGGGCTGGAGAGATGGCTCAGCAGTTGGGAGCTCTGGCTTTTCTTGAGAAGGACCTGGGTTCTATTCCCTGCACCCACATGACAGCTAATAACCTTTGGTAACTCCAGTTCTAGGGGATCTGATGCCCTCTTCTGACCTCTGTGGTCACTGCATGACACGGGTGCAACTACATACATACAATACACTCATACACATAAAATAAAAAAAATTAAAAAAAAAAGAGAAACCAAAACAAAGAGGAGGAGGAGGCAGAAGAATATTTTTTAAAAATTTTATTTATTTATTTATTTTTATTTTATGTGTATGCGTGAATTGCCTGCATGTAGGTGAGTGCACCCGTATCGTGCAATGCCGTGGAGGTCAGAAGAGGGCTTCGGATTCCCCTGGAACTGGAGTTAAGGACGGTTGTAGCCGCCATGAGGGTGCTGGGAATCGAACCCGGGTCCTCTGCAAGTGCAGTCAGTGCTCTTAACCACTGAGCCATCTCTTCAGCCCCCAAATATTTTAAAAATAAAAATATTTAAAGTTTCCTAATTCTCATTAGACAGTTGATCTAGTAATTCCTCAAGCCTTGACTATATGTCCAACTTAGGAATGATCCAATTCTCAAGAAACCAGTGAGGGGGTAGG